TACCTTTTCATCAGTTGTAAAACCAAATAACCAAGATCTCGTTAAAAGTAAAGTTTGGACATGTTTAGGAAGAAGCCGACTCCGGTATTTGTTTAGAATACGTTAACCAATACTCTAATATATATTAGTTTTTTTTTATTTTTATCAAAAACTCGTGGATTACCCACGACCCTAGTGGATTTATCTATTAAACTCATAATTCTATTAGGATAACCTACTACAACCCATTTATTTATATGGATAAAAAAATTAATCCAAACCTGTTAAAATTATGTGTGGATTTGGGTAATCTATGGATATTGATACATTTTGACTTCAATAGGCCAAGGTGCATGCAAATGCAATGCATACAACATTGATCATTTGTTTGAACAAATATAATAATATTGTGGACATCGTGCATGTCTGGCTAAGCTCACATGAATTTTATGTCAAGTTGCTCAATTTTCATATAATTCTTTACAATATAAATTAGAGTTTTACTCTTGAATTGGTCTGGCACCGAAGGTTCCTCCAAATGCGTGACATTAAAATAAAAATGCTCCAAGTGGATGAATTATTTCTTACAAATTATATTTCTATATATAATTATAGGGTAATCAACTGGGTCTCTTATGCAAAGTCAAAACTAACTTTCAAACTAAAAGAGTCTTATATGAATTTTGAAACAGTCAAATACATTTTTTTGGTTTTTTGAAAATTCAGTTAACTATATGTTACATGTATGAGTTACAAAATGGATCCTTAATTAATTTCGATCGATATGGCCAAATAGCATTTTTCAAATGTTTTTCTTATACTTCTTTTTTGCCACTACAAGAATTTGATCAAATAGCTACAATTTTAATTGTGACTATGGTTATGTTTTTGTAGCAAAAATCAGGTTGTTACAAAAATTGGTTTATGAGTATAGCCGCGTAGCTATATTGAATTAGTAGCCAATTGTAGCAAATTAGTGAACAATTTTTAGTGAAGTAAGAAAGGGTAAAATCGACTTTTCGAGCCTGGTCTTAGATTCAACGGACCATATTTATTATATATACTATAGACTCTATATCCAACCAAATAAATCCAAGGTAGGCCATGACTTGCATGGGATGCGAAATTGATAAAACGTGGTAGATGCAGATTTATTAAAAAAGCACACTCTTAAATGTAAAATCTAAATTTTATAATTTCGTTCAAACATACTGTATTTATATTCCCACCATCATTACCCAAAATTATTAAACTATTTATTAGTCGTCCAAAAACCATGGAAAAAGACACGCGCTCTCTCATCTAGCCATTAGCAAAATTCCACGTCATACTATATGATTATTAATAAATAATTACATTATTTTTCTTGTCAATGCATAATTTTTCTTAATGTAATTAATGTAATAAAAACAGTTATTAG